GGGGGCCTGGTAGAGCGCCTCGTGCTCCTTGGGGTCGAACTTCTCGCCGGTGGGGTCGAACTGGACGATGCCGTGGGTGCGGAGCATGTCGAGCAACGACTTGGAGGTGAGGTCGACACCCGAGTAGAGGTCGGCGACGACGCGGCGCGGGTCCTTCATGTCGAGGTCCTTGGGTGCGGTTCGGAGCTCCTCGGGCACCGACCTGAGTGCGAGACCGAGGATGTCGATGGAGGAGGTGAGGTCCTTGGCGAGCCTGGTGATGGCAAAGTCGCCAGCTTGCGCCTTTTCGTCCTTGCTTCGTCGCTGCAGATTCTGGTAGTCCGCCTTGCCGTACAGGATGGCTTCTTGCAGCTCCTTGATCTTGGCGTCCTTCTCCTTGATCTGCGTTTGAAGAGCTTCGGTGTCAGCCGACTTGTCGGTGGCGCCCATGGCTTCGCCGGATGCCTGGGTCTCCTGCTCCTTCTTGGAGCTTGCCGAGTTGTAGGCGGCTCGTGTGGTGGAGAAGTTCATGGCGCGCGAGGCAGGCGCTGCGGTGGCTGTAAGAAGCTGCTTGGAAGAGCCGGCGACGGCAGACCGCGATGCGGATCGGAGCGCAAATCCGAGCGAGCGAGACATGGAGCTCGACATTGTGGTGGCGGTGAAAGGGAAAGGGAGAGGATGAAGCGAGGCTTGTAGCTAGATGGTGGATGGAGCAGAGCAAGCAGAGCACAGCAGACAGGAGTGGAGGCGGGTTGGGGCTCGAATTGGAAGAAGTGGATCCGGCTACAGCCATACGCCGCTCGCCAAATCAGGCCGAGCGAGCGAGCGAGCGCATCCAGCTGAGCCAACGAGTGGCGGGCGGCGGGCAGCAACGGCAGACGGTATGACCCGAGCTCCAATTTCGCCGCATCTCGATTCGCCCTCCGGCTGAAGCTCAACGAAGCGTGGGGAAGCCACGCTCGACTCGAAAATGACAACAATGTTACGCCGCCGTGTGCAGTGGACATTCAGCTCTTGAATCTAGAATCTAACACGGCTGACTGTTGCCCAAAAAGCTATGAGGTGGAGTCGGTGGACGAAGCTTCTGACCACTTCATATGCTGAGCACGGAGCGAATGGGAGAGATCTGATCATCGCAATACGGTATCACATGGCCATAATTCGAGAGGCGAAACAATCCAATCCAGGCGCTGGCGGTGGTGGACGGCATGGACGGATGGCGCAAGCGAGCGACTTTATCAGCATCCGCGCGTGCCCGACTGAGCGGCGCCAGCTCGATTGCATTGGGTTGGATTGGACCCTGAGCGTGAGTGCGGCGCAATGCAGCGCCAATGCAGCGCACTGCAGCACCAAATGCTCAGCGCGCCTATCTCTCCACCTGCGCGCCCCCTCCACCCGACACTGGCCCAGTGCTGCAGATCGCGTGCGGCGCGCAGTCGGTTAAGTTAGCTGCAGCTGCAGCTCCACAATCGCACCCTTTCGACGGCGCTCGCCCCTGGCTGACTCGCCGACTAGCTGGCTGGCTGGCTGGCTGGCTGGCTGG